ATCTGAACTAAACCAGGTCAAGGTAAGTGTTATCAGCCCAGCCCAAGGCCGAGGCTAATAACTCTAACTGAGACCTTAATTAAACAACGACAAACACACCGTCGTAAGGAACCTGAATTGATATAATTGTTGTTGGTAATCATGCATTGCGACCTGCGCAACCTATACATTAGTCATCTACTAGCAGAGAACTAACTAATCTGTAAGTTGCGCTGATTTCCAAAATTAGCTATAGGATCTTAGCCAGTGAGAAGACAGATAATGAGTGCAATGTAGAATAATGAGAAATAGGGCCCCCGACTTTCTTTACACGTTTATTTCTTATATGGTATGTGCAACTTAAAATCTTTAAAACTCGCCAAAAAGGCCTCGAAATGGCTCTAGAAGCAAACAGAAAGGACACAACACAAACACGAGGTTTAGTCATTTTTATTTCGAATATTTTTAGTACGTATTTTGTTTATTCCCAGAAATTCTCTTATAATATCCTAGCATAATTATTGGCATATACCAGCACTTCTAGAAGCATATTATGTTACTCTTGCGAGCACAGTTTATTAAAGCCTACAGTATATAGCTCAAACTTGATCTCGTTCAGAAAAGATTGAACTCTTTCTTTCAATTGATGAAGTTCCTCTTCTGTCAGAATTTCTGTCCATTAGTATTTCTTGAAGGGATTTGGATCTTCTTCCATTAAACATTAACTTTCTGTGACCACAAGAGACTGAGAAATAGATAGGCTGAAAGGGAAAGAGCAAATAAGAATCTGTTTAATCAAGAGAGGATAAAGGGGACAGAGAAGGCATCCCCCATACACACCCTATTCCACAGGTAGTTCGTCTCGAGTTATTTTTAAGACCACAGATCCCAAGGGGGATTAGACAACGGCCACTCACATAGCGCGAATGTGTTCCACGTTGATGACCCACGCTCAGAGCCACGCGTCCTTCACGAATTGACGCAGGACAAAATGGCGGAAGACGCGGAGAGCGATATTGCTATTCGTTTTGTTGACGAAAACGAAAACAAAGAGATTTTTGCTAAAGCTGTGTCAGCGAAACGGAAATTAAAAAAGAATCGCCCTTCCTCTCTTGTATAGAGCTAACAGTACAGCAGGGAAAACCTTAACACACTGAATCTTCTCTCAGGATCATTATAATTTACAGTTTGAAGAGAGCAATTTCTGGTTTGATATTTATTCTTTTATTAGTCTTTCATTATTCAACAAAAATAACACTTGGCGTCCTACTTGCTTTATTATACAAACGACCGGTTTCAATAGACCGGCGAAATTTCTCATTTTATTAAAGCACTGAGGTTACGACAACTTCGAGTTAAACTGGGGCACATACTCAGCCAAACGGACAGACTATCTTTTCTTAGAAGAGCAAATACAAATCCCTGATCGCACAGATTATTACCTCCTTTAGTAAATTAAGCTTGAATCGATAAAATCGGTTTAAATATTAAGTGAATTTTTGGTGTCGAGTTCTGACGTCTCACACAAAGAGTAGCGTACAGAACTGATTATCGAACCATTTGAAAATACAGCTCAACTGATGCTGCTGCTACTCAAACGTGTCATTCCTACCACTGCCGTCAGCCTAGTTTAAGGTAAAAGCAGATTATTTTCTATCCTGTTAACTCTTGTAAGATTGACAAGGACAATAAGGATCTGTTGGAGATAAAGACTTGTTCTGTCGTAGAGTGCGAAAAGATTTTAACACAGGAAGGCGATAAATCAGCAAAAGAGGAGAGCGATTCACGAACAAACCAAACATCTCTTGATTGTACAAGTAAGTGATAAAACTCCAAACACAAAGCGTACCTATAACGAGCGTCTTTATTTCAAGTGGGTCTACAATTTGTCAGCCGCATCAGATGTTATGTTTTGTTCTCTGGCCTTGACTCATTAAAATACTGCCAGAACTCAAAACTCTGTTTGTATTTCTATTTCAGCCATAGCAGAAACTCACAAAAATGCCGGCAATGATGCATTTAGTAAACATGATTTTGTCAAGGCTATCAACTTGTACACAGAGGGAATTGAAGTAAAATGCAAGGATGAGGATCTGAATGCCAAATTATACAACAACAGGGCATCAGCCCATTATCACTTGGGTAAAGTATCATTCATATATTATATTTACTCAAATTGTCAACACTGCATGTTGTTCCGTATCAAACATTTTATTGTCTATTCTGCATCTTTGCCCTTTTACGTTAAGACACCCCTGGAATCCCAATTCAACTGTCTCTATTGACCCTATTGATGTTATCAGGGTGAAGTCTTATGTCCTATTATCATCTCTTGGTTATGCGGACGACCTATTCAAAGACTAAGGGAGAAACAGTCTGGGAACGGGGATGGGGTCTCTATAGAGAATTTCAACCTCATCTCAAAGAGCGTAGTGGCTGGTCTCATTTGTGTGTTCATTAATAGCTCAAGTCTGGAGTCCCTGAAAACCGTATGTCCGTTTTATGTGCTGTAATAGGTTCAATTTATGCATGTATCCTCTCGTTCCGCCAATTTATACTTCGCTGCATTCGCAAGGAATCTTATAAAATACTCAATCTTGCTTCCTTGGGTTAGTTAAGGATCCTTAGATTGCACAAAGTGTTTTCGTTTCGAATATGAAGACAGCCCGGCTGTACCCATCGTTTAATTACAAAATAGGTACTGCCCGTTAATTAAGTGACCAGTGGATAAAATATGAATTTTAAGCACTCACTTTTTCGAGTTAATAGGGTGCAATTCTTTCTGATCTACTCTACTTGAGGGTTATTCTTTTCAATTTAATTAAGGGACAAAAATTCTTGATAGAGATGTGATAGTGAATAGTGAGCCTTGTAAATATATTAGAAAGATGATTTTTTGTTTGGTGAAACAGGCGCCTCGGAAGGAAGAATCCGAGTACTCCCAATACCTCCTGTGTCACTGATCGTAAAACCATCTTTCTCAGATATTCAACAGACTTCAAATTTCTCATATCACATTAAGTGTTTTGTCGTGTCGGATTTGGAAACACCTCCAGCGCGTGCAAGGTTTACATAGAGTCTTTAAAGTAGAGGCTGCCCCATCAGTTCAGATTTACTCTAATTTACTTGCGGATTATTCTTTTTATTGTGGGTGTAATAAAACTCTTTTTCAGGAAATTATCCAGATTGTCTAAGTGACGTAAAAGCTGCGACAGCACTACAGCCGTCTTATCTCAAGGCGATTATCAGAGGTGAAAATGAATCCCAGTTGAAAACTTGAGTTTTTCCTGAAACAATGATTTCAAACGAGTGGGCCTTTTCTCTTTAGGAGCGAACACCTGTTTTAAGGTGACTCGACCCAGTTTTTTTTAGGGGGTACCACCCTACTTTGAAGCTCTCTGGTATCTCCACCTTTACTTTTATCGTAAGTCTAACACATAGAATGGATAACATATAGATCAATCTACAATATAACATAAAATTTTTGGCGATCGGAGTAAATGTCACGTGGTTATAATGCCACGCCCCTTTGAGGTCTGAGTCGAAAATCTGCTGTTGCCGGCATTTTTTCGTGAAAATCTCTCGGCTACATATAGTGCGCATTAGTACCTTGCCCTCAACAGAGTTTCACCAAAATCGCGAAGGCCCAATTCGAGAAATTCAGCGGTTTCCAAATTTAGATCATAATTTAAGCAAAAATGATGAGCAAACTTTATACGGATTATATCTAATAAACTATGAGATTCATCTCTGTATTTTGGGCATCCTTATAACAGATGGGTCCTTGCAAGTCAGCAAAACGCTTTAGGGCCTTGTAAATGCGCGCGATTTCGAGCAAAGCAAACATATAATATAGAAATTATAGTTTTCGCTATTTGTTGACGTTTGTCAGCGTTTAAGAGTCAATCTCACGAAAAAAGCATTTTGTTAAAAAATTCGTAGTTTTTTTTCCTTCAAATTTTTTCAGCGCCACAATTGATTAATTAACTACCCGGACTCTGAATTTCATGGTCATTGAAAAACTGTGACATTACCATGTATAAGCCCAAACTTGAGTAAACATTGAAGATTTTTAGCGTTTTAGCTGAGTTTGAGGGATACTCCAAACTCAGAAGCTACCACTGTGAACGGTTAGTGGTCGGTGTACATAATATTTTGGACTCACGAGTAACTGTTCAACCAAAAAAATGTCTTAATCGCAAATAAATACGTTTTGAAGTAAGTACAGTAGAACCTCGATATAGCGAAGGGCCGAGGGACTGAGGAAATTTGTTCTTTATATCGAGGGTTCGTTATATCGAAAACCTCGATAACGAATTTTTCGTAAAACAAGCAAAATGTTCTTTATATCTAGGTAGAATGAATGATTAATTTCCAACGCCCAGTATTTCCGGGTCTGAACAATCTCTGTAATAAGCATTTGTATACGGTGCTATTGCCTCAGTTCAGAGCTATTAGCTACCGCACTAGAAACACAAAAACAGGCAAACAAAACTTCTTAAAACTACTGTACACATAAATTTTATTCTCGTTGCTCTGTTTTGAATTCATCTTTAACTATCTTTTGGTCACATGTTGACATTTATTCGTTATATCGAGGTATATTTTATGTTTGTGTTTCTGGGTTGTGTTCGTTATAACGAGGATTTCCTTCGTTAAATCGAAGTTCGTTATATCAAGGTTCTGTTCAATACATTTTATTGTAATTTTGGCTGGGCTGAAGAAAATCGTTCGTTATGCCGAGGACTGGTTGAATAGTTTCGATGCAGGGGTATACGCATGGTTAAGATAAGAGAGACATTCAAACGAGACTTACCTCAAATCTACCAGGATTGCATGGTTGGGCATACATTTTAGAGACGTGCGCAAAAACCAGTACACCAATACAATCAACTATCCTGACTAATATCTCATTAAAAAGCCATTCAATTTTACAGGTGTTAACTCCATATCAACCATCAACGAATGTGCCCAAAGAAAACCAACCCGTTGAAAAAGAAGATGATGAATTTGCACGCGTTATGAGCAATTTTGTTGAAGTTGCAAATCTTTCTGGGAATTTCAACGACATCGTTAACTTTTACTGCCAAATACTCAGTACTGCCAAGAGTGCGGGAGATAAAGCTAGAGAAGGAGCTGTGTATAGTTTTCTTGGTGGGTTTTTTCTGGATCAGTGTGATTACAAGAAAGCCAAAGAATATAACTACCTTGCTCTTGATATTTTCAAAGAATTGGGCAACAAGAGACGGGAAGGTGTGTGTCAATGTCTTGGTGATGTTTTCCAAGAGCTCTGTAATTTTGAAAAAGCCATTGAGTACCAGAACCGTGGGCTCAGTATAGCAATAGATCTGGGAGAAAAACCTTTGGAAGCTTCTGCTTACTACAGTCTTGGCAATGTTTTTCGAGGTTTGTGTAGTTATGATAAAGCAATAGGCTTCTACAACCGTTGTCTTAGAGTCGCCAAAGGTCTGGCTAGCAAGACAATCGGAAGGCCATTAGAAGTTGTTGCCTGTAGCAATCTCGGACATGCCTTTGACTGTCTTGGTGAATACAAACAAGCTGAAATTTACCATAGGCTCCACCTTAGCATTGCCAAAGAGAGGAGACACAAGTCTGGGGAGGGAGACGCTTACACAGGTCTTGGCAACGTTTTTCTAGGCCTTGGAAATTTCAAAAAAGCCCAAGAGTATTACAGCTTAGGCCTTAGCATTGCCAAAGATGTACGAAACAAAGGAGCAGTAGCACTTGCATATTCGGGTCTCGCAAACGCTTCCCGCAGCCTTGGAGGTACAAAAAATGCGGCAAGTTACTCTAATCTGTATCCTACCTGCGCCAAAGAACTAGGGAAGAAAGATCAGGAAAAGGGTGCGTAAGGCACCCTTGGACATATTTATAGCAGCCTTGGAGACTTCAAGAAGTCCATATAATACTATAAACGCCATCTTGATATTGCTAAAGATGTTGGAGACTTGGGATCAGAAGATGGCGAGTATGGTGGCCTTGGTAGTGTTTTTGACAGCCTCGGAGATTTCGAAAAAGCCATTGACTACCACAAGCGACATCTTCGTATTGCTGAAACCATTGGAGATAAAGATGGGGAAGCAAAAGCATATGGTAATCTTGGCAACGCTTATCTTGGCCTTGGGGATTTCAATGCAGCCCTCCACGTCTTTAAACATCGCCTTAGAATTGCGAAAGACCTGGGAGATAAGGTGGAGGAAGGTCGTGCATATGGTCATCTCGGCAGCACGTTTCAACGTCTGGGAAACTTCAAGAAAGCCATGGACTATTACAATCGGCGTCTCTGTATTGCCCAAGAACTGGGAGACAAGGCTGGAGAAGGGGCTGCCTGTGGCTATTTAGGATCCATTTCCCTGCTTCTTGGCCGCTACATGATAGCCATTGGCTGGAACAAAAAAATGCCTCAGAATCGCTACACATCTAGGAGACAAAAACCTGGAAGGTAAAGCATACAGTGAGCTTGGACGATGCTTTGAGATGCTGGAAAGTTTATCGAAAGCATTCGAAAACTACCAAACAAGCGTTGAAGTTTTCAATCAAATGAGGAGTCTTCTTCAGTCTCAAGATAAATGGAAGACTGGATTTCGGAACGAGTGTAACTATGCTTATACAGGCCTTTGTAGAGTTTTGTTAAAACAAGAAAAGATTAGTGAAGCTCTGGCCGCTGCCGAAGAAGGTCGGGCCCAGTCCTAGCTGATCTTATGACATCCCAGTATGGTTTTCAAGGAAGTCAACCCGAAGGAAAGCGACTAGACGAAGAAGAATTCGGCATGTTAAACAATATTTCATCAAGCACTATTTTTCTATCTGTGTCAGAAAATAAGATAAATATCTGGTTACTTTTGAAAGAGAAACCTGTTCTTCACCGACAGAAGACGCTTTGCCGCCACTTTTCAGATAATGCAGCAGATGAAACATTACAGTCCCTAACCCAACTTGCCCAAGAAAACAATGGTATTCGTGCAAATGTTAACTGCGAGAATCGGTCCTTAGATGTCTTACGCGAAAACTGCTATACCGTGGTACGGTCATCCAAAAAGTGTTCACAGCAAACTCTCCAAGAGGATAACCCCCCCCCCCCCCCCCCCCCCCCCCCCCCCCCCCCACCTGACTACTCCCCCCCCCGCCCCCGCGCGGGGGGGCGGGCCGAAGTCACCACCGTGGACCGCCGTATGCCGCCACCTCCTCTTTTTTTTTTTTCTTTTCTTTTTTTTATTCTTTTATTTTTTTTTTTAAAACACATATTAGTCCACTCCATCTATCTTTATACCCCCCCCCCCCCCCCCCAGCCGCCTTGTACAGCTATGTGATTCCCCGATACTGGATCCGATTGAGGGCGATGAGCTAATCATAGTCCCGGATGGTCCATTATGGCTAGCTCCGTTTGCTGTATTGCTGAATCCTTTTTCCAAATACTTGTGTGTATCCTTCAAAGTCAGATTTATTCCTTCGCTGACAAGTTTGAAAATTATTTCTCATTGTCCAAAATTCCACACTAACAGCAGTAGTGGAGCTCTAGTTGTAGGGGATCCAGACATGAGTGAAGTTGCCAACAGCCAAGGAAATCAGATCCTGGAGCAGCTTCCTTTTGCCAGACAAGAAGCATAGATGATTGGGCAGATTCTCAATACGGCACCTCTAACTGGAAATTTGGCCACCAAATGTAAAATGCTAAAACAGATTAGTTCGGTTGCGGTAGTGTACATTGCTGCACATGGACGCATGGAAACCGGAGAAATAGCGTTGAGCCCGAATCCTGAGAGGAAATCGCAGACCCCTGCAGAAGAGGATTACATTTTGACAATGACAGATGTGATGAGTGTGAAGCTGCGAGCCAAGCCAGTTGTCCTTAGTTGCTGTCACAGTGGTCGGGGAGAGATCAAAGCTGAAGGCTTGGTCGGTATTGCACGTGCCTTTATTGGTGCTGGTGCTCGTTCTGTTCTGGTGTCGATGTGGACCAGGCCACGTTGGAGTTCATGAAAAACTTCTACCACAACCTTTTTGAAAGGCGAAGTGCGAGCGACTCCCTTAACCGCGTAATGAAATATCCGAGATAATCCGAGAAGTTCAGCGATTTAAAATACTGGGCGCCTTTTACACTTATTGGCCATGACGTCACTCTCACGCCAAACGAGAAGAAATCAGGCTCTTCTAATAAAATTGAGAAACTATGTCCCCAAAAGACAGAAAGGTGAAGCAAAGTCATTTTCACCTTATGGTTGTATTTCTTTTGACTCTTCTTTCATACCAATTTTATCCGACTGTGAGGAACGTAAATGAGAATTATATACTGCCTGAAGTTGCCCAAGTAATGTAAGTTTAAGTACTCGAAGCAGTACCCCTTCTCTCTCTGTAGAGATAAATGACGGCTGATTTACTGTAGCAACGTCTATCTCATGTATTATGTTCTGTTTCAGTTTTTGCATAGATGATTAAGTACCAACAAAGAATTGCTCATTGTCCCTTAAAATTTGTAGATAAACCTAAATATAAGACTGAAAAATGTTAAGCTGAATGCTGGAAGTTGCTCAAATCATGAAGATATTGTGCCGCTGAGAAATAGAACGAGCTATTGTAGCAAATGAAGCGGGCTTTAATGATGTGAAGAAAAAATTCGATTGCTTACTGAGTTTTGGTGATATCGTAATTTACAGTCACTGCTTCCTCTTGCGTTTGTTGCTTTAATCGATTCTTAGATCTTAGCTTTTACACTCCTTGTATTACAATTTATTGTACATTTTTAGTTTTTAATTTTTAGAGTATACTAGGGTGTATACCGTAGGTTACATGTAAACTAGCTGATTAAGCTAAGCGTTAACTTATCGTTCCTATCTTATTTTGTTAAATTACAATAAAGAGCAAAGAGAACTTAAATGTTAAAGGATCAGTGTCCGACTGATATATCGTCCTTTCTCATAACACTAGTTTAAGATGTAGTTTCAAAGCTGTATTGTTATTGCCCAACAATAGAAAATGACAAACCAAAGGAAACGTTAAAATTCACTTCAATAGTAGTTCTAGACCAATCTAATTTGATGGGCTTTTAATTATTATCCTCCTTCATTTCGGTATTGCAGACACGCTTTAAATTAAGTTGCATACTTGACAATGCAACATAAACTAGACTGACACAACATTGCCCGTTTTATCTGCAACTGAACATGAAAGAGTTGGTTATTCAATGCTGTAGAATATCGAGCGACTAAACAGCTAAAATACTTCCAAGGAACACAACAAGTCAACAAACACATGGTTCGGACGAACAGAACAACACGACAGGGGGCACGTAATCCCTAACAAGTTCCCTGGACCGCGCATTCCTCCCCCTCAAGTTCCTAAACAATATGCGGCATCTCGCCCTAAACTAAACCTTCATGGGGGCAAGAGGGGTCCATCAGTAATAACGCTGTGGTGGTCTTCGGTCCCTTACTAGATATCGTCGATCAGGGGTGGCAGTGACTAAGCTTGGGTGTTCGGGTTTAGTGGGTGACTCCAACTCCCCACAGGTTACTTCAGAACTATTCACATCGGGTACTGCAACCTTCGGAACAAGACTTGCCTCTTTGCTATGGCCTGCCCTTTGAGCTGTTGGAGTGGGGCGAAGAGGCTCTGTAGTACGAGAAATTAATTGGTCATGATGTCTCTGAACTACCATTCCATCTTCTACAATCATGGACAAAAGTCTTGGGACACTTTTGCATTTCTGGGGCGTTTTCCAATTCACACAGGTCCAATCCCTCCCCTCACCCCGCAATCAATGTTGGACGCGCGTATCCAGAATTTTTTCCAAGTTTCAACTTTGTATAGGGTGGGGAGAGGGCGACCTACAAGAAAATTTCTGAAAGGATGCAGTGTTTTAAGAGGGAACCGAGAAAAGACAGAAAAATTTGAATACTGCAGTGCTGTCCCAAGGATTTTTGTCCAGGATTGTAGGAGACCGTAGTTCCTTTCTGCCGTGGAGAGTGTACGCGAGGCGTATGCCAAGGGTCTCTCGGATCCATCTTCCATAACATGGGATAGAACTGCGCCAACACCATAGGGTGATGCATCACAGGATACCACCAGCTCTTTCTCGGGATCATAATGCACTAATACGTCTGATAATTGAAGCTGGTTTTTGGCTTTATCAAATGCTTCTTGTTGTTCCACCTCCCACTTCCAAACAACATCTTTCCTCAGTAAACTATGTAGTGGTTCCAGAATGGATGACAGGTTAGGTATAAACTTCCCACAGAAGTTAAGCATACCAAGGAACGACCTCAGTTCAGTCGGGTTTTTTGGTGCTGGGGCCTCTTGAATGGCCTTCACTTTTGCTTCAAAAGGATGAAACCCCTCTGCATCAACTCGGTGCCCCAGGCACTCCAAAACTGGCTTTATTAACTGACGCTTTACTGCCTTGAGTCGTAGACCAGCTTCGGAGAGGCGTCTCAAAACTTTCTCGATGTTGTCTAAGTGCTCTTCAGTACTGGGGCCTGTAATAAGAATGTTATCTAACAGAACTCCCGTTGAAGGGATTCCTTGATGCAAACCCTCCATAGTTCTCTGGAAAATATAAGGTGCTGAGGCTACCCCGTAAGGGAGACGGTTATACCTGTACAGGCCCTTCTGTGTGTTAATCGTTAAAAATTCCTTAGAGTTCTCATCCACAAGCATCTGTTCATAGGCATGTAGTAAATGTTTGACCTCCAACTAATTTCGTATACAGATTATCAAGCTTGGCGATAGGATATTAACAGTGAGCTTATAGTATCCACAGAATCTTAAAGAGCCATCACTCTTCATGACGGGGACAATCGGGGTGGCCCACTCGGAATACTTGACTGATTCAATGGTCCCTGCCGTTTAAGTCTTTCTAGGTCTTGTTCAATTTTCTCCCTCAGAGCATACGGTGCTGTTCTGGCTTTATGGAAGATAGGGGTAGCCGTGGGATCAACATGGATTTTGGCCTTTGCCCCTTGTAGAGTTCCAGGCCCCTCCTCGAACAGCTGAGCATGTTTTTGCAAAATCTCTTCCATTCGCTTATTGTGTGACGAAAGCTGCTTCATTATGGGCCAATTCAGCTTGATTTTCCGAAGCCAGTACCTACCTAGAAAGCAGGCCCCTTGCCGCCTACAACCAAAAGCGGCAGCGAGTATTCAACCCCGTCATAACACACATACACAGAACAAGACCCTTTAGTTTTGACCTCTTCCCCGGTATATGTGCGAAGGACAATTCCTGACTGTACAAATTAGGGTGCTTGACCTGCTGAAACAAGGGAGTTGTATAATTCCTCGCTAATCACAGACAACGAGGCCCCTGTGTCAACTTCCATTTCAAGGGGTTGCCCAGCAACACTTAGCTGTACTTTGTAGGGTAAAGGGCGTTGACTGCCAAAGTTAAACAAGGAATACGCACCCACACCCTGTTCCTCCCCTGGTGATTTCATGGCACCCTCAAGAAGATTGGTAGGCTCGGAGTTGTCTGATTTCTTGTCATTAACTGGCTGTGGTTGTTTCCCTTTCTTCTTAGTTGGGCACAATCGAGCTAAATAGGGCAAATTTACCACAACAATAGCATTTGGCATCCTTAAAATGACAGCTTTTGGGGTAGTGGTTGCCGCCACAACGAGAAGACTTAAGGTGATTCCTTAGTAAAAGAACCTAACATAGATTGTAGATGAAACTTGGTACACTGGTGTAACAAGTCAAGAAGATGATAAAAAAGTAATAAAAAGTGGGGGTCACCGTGCTCGTTTTGACGTCACAATGCTGACAAATGCGGCTATTTAGGACCCTTTTACAAAAACCGCGGGCAGCCCAAAACTAAACAAAAAGGAGAGATTTTTTCGATGGTGCATGTGGCATCGCACAGAATTTGACTTAAATGTACTGTTTAACCACTTACGTACCAGAAAAATGCCTTTTAATACCCTTGTTTTTACTTTACGCTCCAAAGTAGAGTTAAATTTGTCACGCGCTACTAGACCCGTGATAGCTCAATCAGTACAATTTAGTACAACTGCCAAAAAACTGAACATAGATTTGTGCCAATTTTTTTCTCATCGAAAGGAAGCACTGTCCTTATTAAAATCATGAAATAAAAAATGGGGGTCACCGAAATCGTTTTTGCGGTAGAGCTGCAGAAAGAGTGCACCAAATGCATTTTCTCCTATTTTTGAGGGAGGACTGGGGCGAGTTTCAAATAGAATGTATGTGAAAGGGGGAAGAAAGTATTAAAAAATCCGTTTTTACAGAATTTACATCGAGATATCACATTTAGGACACAATGTGATAAGGAAAGCGTTTAAATGAAAATCAAAGTGAGTAAGCACAAGTTAAACATCCACTATCGAGGTTCTCCGAGAGGAAGTCGAACTCAGCAACACGCGTACTGCTTACGTTATGCACATCCCCAACACACCTCGGCAAGAAACAACAGCAAGCAAAAATTCCAATAGCGTTTCTCTTCAGTCAACTTCATTTTAATAATGTTACTTCACATGCTCTTTTTTACGGCGGCCATCTTGTTATGCGCAGTAAGAGATGCGCAGTGCAAAACCAGGGAATCACCTTAACTTCACTTCCCTTATTAACTTTGACGTCTACTTTGTTGACAGAAGCTTCCCC